TTAATTTCATCTAAAGAATGATGGTATGGTTTTTCTTTTTGTTAACCCTATTTTCCATGATAAAGATGGCTTTGGTGAGAAGGGGAAGCCGGCCACTGGTGCTGAAGGTGCAGTGCCTCCAAATGCCACATTCCAGATTACCCTGGAGCTGGTTTCATGGAAAACTGTCACAGAGGTCACTGATGACAAGAAGGTTATAAAGAAGATGCTGAAGGAAGGAGAGGGATATGAACGCCCGAATGAGGGGGCTATTGTCAAAGGTTGGTGTTATATTATGAGAAAGAAATTGCAGTTCTCTGCATGCAGTATGCTAGAAACTCGTCATCCAAAATATGATTTGTATAAACCCTTTTCCAGTGAAATTGATTGGGAAACTACAAGATGGTACTGTTTTCTTAAAGCAAGGTCAAGCTGAAAGGAGAAGAGTTGTTTGAGTTCAAGACGGATGAAGGTAATGAACTAACAAATGTCACCCTCCTCTACTCACAGACTCTAGGTCAATGATTTTAGCTGAACATTCTCTTCTGAACTTTTCTTACAGAGCAAGTCATTGATGGTCTTGATAAAGCTGCGATGACAATGAAAAAGGGTGAAATAGCACTGCTGACTATTGCACCCGAGTATGCTTTTGGGTCATCCAAGTCGAAGCAGGACCTGGCTGTGGTACCCCCTAACTCAACCGTGTACTATGAAGTTGAGATGGTATCATTTGTTAAGGTTAGTGGATCAGTGTGCATGGGTGATTTTAGTTCTTTGTTGTGTATCTGCAAGGTACCTATTTGGGAGAATTAAAAGTGGTTTTGATAATTTGCTTTTGCAGGATAAAGAATCATGGGATATGAACACCCCAGAAAAGATTGAAGCAGCAGGTAAAAAGAAGGAAGAAGGAAATGTATTGTTCAAGGCTGGTAAATATGTGAGAGCTTCTAAGAGATATGAAAAGGTATACAGTATGATGCCAATTGGGTTGTGAAAGTTTTGTCTTCCTATACCTTGTGATTTAATTGGTGTTCGTACATACAGGCTGTAAAGTACATTGATTACGATACATCCTTCAGTGAAGAGGAGAAAAAACAGACCAAGGCATTGAAAGTTGCTTGCAATCTGAACAATGCTGCTTGCAAGCTGAAGCTGAAGGATTATAAGGAAGCTGAGAAATTATGCAGCAAGGTTTGAACCTTGTTTCACAACTGCCATTATAACAATAGCTAGATCTTGTAGTAAAATCAACTGTTGCATGTTATTCCTATACAGGTTCTGGAATTAGAAAGCTCGAACGTGAAAGCCTTGTATAGAAGGGCTCAAGCTTACATTCATCTTACGGACCTAGATTTAGCGGAGTTTGATATCAAGAAAGCTCTTGAACTTGATCCTGATAATAGGTAATTTGCTTTTATAGGCTGCTGTATTTTGCTGTCTGGCATTGTTGGATGTCTCATTTTCTAAATGTCTGCTATTAGGGAGATTAAGATGGAATACAAAGTTTTGAAGGAGAAGATTAAGGAGTACAATAAGAAAGAAGCCAAATTCTATGGCAATATGTTCGATAAGATGAATAATAAAGTGGAGCCCGCCAATGTAAGTGTTGAAGTGCCGGTAGGGATTTTTGCCATACTTTAATGAAGTGATTGATTTACTTTTGTGTTTTTGCTGCAGAAATCGGCTGCCAATGAAGCCGCACAAGTGAGCATAGATAGCAAGGCATAAGTGGTGGCCATGGGACAATTGGATGATGGCATCAACAGTTAATGCCTAGTTTTAATTTGTTTCAACTACTACTTTTTATTTGTAGGACACACGTGTTTTTGACAACCGAGAATTGGATTATAATGGATTCTCCTGTCTTGGGCTTGAGGATTGTTGACGTGAAAACTGTTTGTGCTTAATATTGCTGAAAAAAATAACCATATTCAATACAAGGAGATCGACCAACGTTTGGGAAAACTTTAGACTTGCTCTTGTGCTTGATACAGTTGTGTGCTAATGTGACGGTGGTTCACTGGCTTGCGAATATCTTCTATTTTGAGCCAAAACAAGATTTGTCAGATTGGCAAAGAGTCTATTTTATGGTTTGGAACTTGGGTATGCTTTGGTAATCTCTTCTTTTTTCCTCGGGGGTAAGGAAATCAGTAGGAATGGCGGGGAACAGCAAATCTCCATTCCTCGTAAACAAGTGAGTTATATATCTGATCTTTCAATTTGAATAGTAAATCGTGATTGGTAGTTAAACATTCATCAATCGACGCTATAATATTTTGTCTTCATAAGGACAGACGACAAATGGTTGAGAAATTTTATAGTGATTGGTCCAACGTTCTGGCTTCTGAGAATGTTTTTTAGTATAGTGATATAAAATGTTATGCTCTATTATAAGATAAATATTACATCAACTGTAGATTGAATTAAGATACAGTCAATAGACTGGCTTTAAGTCCCCAAATAAAGAACAAGTGTTCTATAGCATGATTTTCAAGATTATCTTACAGCTTATCGGATGAGTCGGAAATAAAATGCTTTTTTTTCTTTTTTATTTTGCAATGAATTTGAAAAGTGTAATAAAGAAAAACAAAGTATATTTCCTGCAATAAAGAAAAAAAAATAAACAACGTGATACTGTAAACTTTCCACACACACAAATAGAAGGCAAAAGAAAGAAGTTTTGAAGTGCAGAAAAAATATGAACACGCTTACTGTTGGAGGGCATGAAGTTGTGCATCGGTTGGTGAAACAAATCATGGGAGGGATGGAATGGGATGCTGCTAGTCCCGTTCCTTTTTCACACCCAGTTAATAATAATAATTTGGTTGTCACCTAACCTACGATTATTTCTTTAAAAAATGATTGAATTTAATAAAATATCGTTAAACAATTTAAAAAAATTAAAATCACCTGTTAAATTTAACTTTTGTGGATAAAAAATATCATTTACTTTTAAAGTTTTCGACTTGAATTTAATGAAAGATTTGATATAACTATTGAACATCAAAAGATATAACAAAATTACAAACAAAGTTAGTTTAAGTGGTAAGCAGTTTGATTCTGCTTAAACAATGCATCAGGTTTGAGTAATTGTGTATGTAAAAAATTCCTGTTGGGAGATTCACCCACCAAAATCAGGTGTGCGACGCAGATCGAACCGGGAGGACAAAAAAATATCATAAAATTAAAGAAAAAAGAATTATCTAAAGAGTGAAAGAAGAGTGAGAATTACTATGTTAATGGGAGAAATACCCTAATTAACCATATAATATTCCCTAAAATAGCAACAAAATGGGCTCCTGACTCTTGAGGAGGTATCTGTCCTCATTACAATCGCTTAAATATTAAAAAAAAAGGTTAATTAGGTGTTGTGGAAGACTCTGAAACGGCTTTATCTTTATGTGGTGAGCACATGGATTTGGGGATTTGATTTAGACTATGCACCAACAAATTCCCATAAAAAACTTGGATCAATACAGCCATAATGCTAGTCATGTAGACCCGTTAAAAGACTTTAAACTTAATTCACTGTTAAAAGGTACGGCGGATATAAAAATTTATATTGTGTATGAATCTAGAAAAAATTACATTAAAAGTATAAAGAATATATATATAATATATAAAAATTTAAACTTTTAAGGGTACGGTTGCACCTCAACTTCTCCGTATTTTATATGTAAGTGTCGCATGAACCAACTTATCTTTGATGTCATAAATTCGAACACCAACGATCGTATCATGATAATTTAAACGCATATTATTTTATAATCACCTTGACTTAATAAAAAATATTATTAGTATTAATTTTATTTAGAATAAACTACACATTTAGAATCTAAACTATTAGTTTTGATATGTTTAATACTTAAACTTTTAATCTTTTCAAAATCATACCGAATGTTTAACTTTTGTTTTGTTTTATTTAATACCCACTGTTAAAAATTTAACATGTTTAGTATCTAAATTATCAATTTTGATCCATTTTAATCCTCAAACTTTCATTTTATTAATAAATTTAACGTTAAGTTTGAAACAAATATACTAAAATAAACAAAAATTAACCTTTATATATGATTTTGAAAAAGTTAAAAATTTAGATATTATAACAAACTAAAACTAATAATTTAAGTATTAAACACATAATTTATCCTTTATTAAAAAAAAACCCTTTACAGTGACAAAGACTGTCACGTGAACATCTTCCATGGTTTACTTTTTCGTCTTTCCGGTAATTGAACGGAGTCTAATCTGCAAACCCAATTATTGACCCTTGAATTAAATATTGAATAGAAAACGAAAATTAAAAAATGATTACCCATTTAAATTTGCATGAAAGCATTTTTCCAATAAAAATACCAGAATCCCACTAATTATTATCCTTATTAATAAATTAAATAATACTAATTTTGAAAGTAGGTGAGGATGATTCATTGGGTGTAGTCAGAATCTCACCAATGCCAACCTGGGATTACTTTGATGCATCAAACAATATAAGATAAAGTATCAAGTTAAAACAAAAGTAATATATATAATCAAATGGGTGGTTATAACTTTTTAATCTTCCGGTTATGCTTAAATGAATTAATTTTTTTTTCTTTTATTTTTTTCCACAATAAAAATGGAAAAGAAGAAAGGGACATAAGGACCTATCTTTGTTTTAATGATGAAAAATAGGGGAAAGTTGCCATGAATTAAGGGTTGAAGCCAGCTAAGCTCAGCTATTAATGTCTTAGTTAACACTTACAAACACTACCAACAACCAATTAATCTAGTTGGATGAGATACTAAGTCTCTTAAGCAAAGTATCAGAGATTCAAATCTTGATATTTGCAAATAGAGCAAAACTTGGTTTGGAGGATTGCCTTTGTCTCTGTAGTATCCGATCTGGATTAGTTGGTTAATTGATCGGATATAAGTGATTAATTAAAAAAAACACTTACAAACACTTATGGGAAATCTTTGTTTTCAAATTAAGATTATGTCTCAAATTAATAAAGTTGAATGTTCAATGGTGAGGAAAATCAAAGCTGCTTAATTAGAATCAATTGATTAAAATACTATATCTTACAAATGTTGGTGCACTTTTGCTATAAATATCTTTGCACCATGAATACACAGATTTTACATTGGATTAATTGGTAAGCGAAAAAAATAATTACAAGTTCAAAAAGAGAACCCTGAAATTAATATAAAAATATTAGGGAAAAGGGAAAACAATCCTCCACTTTAAACCTAAGCACAAATGGGTATTAGCCTAGTTATGATATTTGATGCAGTGGTCCAATGATAAGCTCATTTTTTGTATATACAGCAGCAGTTCTCTGCTTTAAACCTTCAATCCAGGACCAAAGAATGGTGTAATTAGAGCTCAACTTTCATGTCAGACACTTGATTTAACCCTGCAATTACAAGAATAATCAGCCGTTAATTAATCAGTCCAATATAATTGGTTTCTTAATTCACAATTCTTTGATTCTTTACTTACCCTAGAAGTTTTGTGGATGTAATGCCATTTCTTGGTTCTGATTTTGGCCAAAACCCATCTGAACTAGGGTTTCCAGGTCACCTTCACAAAACGCTGGGTACTGAAACATTTTGACACAATTTTTTTGATGTTTAGGTCTATGAAATAGGAGAAGATGAAGGTAGATTAACTATGAAATGAAATTCACCTCAGGTACAGTGTCAATAAACTCGTTAATTTGAGGCAAATGGGTGTTAAGCTTGGGGCAGATGGCAGTATTGCCCTGTAATGGTGGATTTTGCTGAGGTTGGTGCCCTAAATAGGCTGGTGCTGATGAATTCATTGGGAACATTTGATGCTGCAAAGTGTTGTTTGATTGAAATACCTGCCAAAGAAAAAAGAAAAAAAGGGTAATTCCAATTCAAAGATTTGAAGCATTATTTATTGGGAAAACTATATCTTTAGTACTCCAACTATCGCTTTGTTCCGTTTTAATCATCCAACTATTTTTTATTTCAAAATCATACCTAAAATTACATTTTGATTTCCTTTTTGTCATCCACCGTTAAGTGATGCTGACATGTCAACATAAGGTAATGTTACATCATCATTAAAGATAAAATTATGTCATTTTTAATGGTAGATGATCAAAATTAAACTAAAACATAACATTAAGTATGATTTAAAAAAAACAATAGTTGGATAAATAAAATGTAACAAAAATGACAGTTGATGTACTAAATATGTAGTTTACCATTGTTTATTCTGAAAAATGAACGTAAGAGCTTTAGACTTACATCCTTTGACATTAAACTCTCCACGTTGAAGTCCAGCCTGGTATTTACTGAAGCTAACTTCATTGAGAGGAACTGCCAATAAAAAATAAAACCATGAAAACTTGTATACCAAGAAATTGATCACCACACGTTCATCAATAAAAACTTAATAATCTCACCTCAACTTGTCGTTGCAATGATTGAACGTAGTTTATAATTTCGTCCAGCATCAAGGCTTTCCCAGCAACCTACAATTTGAAACCCCCCAACAACCCTTTACTTTTAAGAATTAAAGCAATCGTTTTTTTACATGATTTAGAACAGATTTTGTTTCAGACCTTGCTGCAACCTGGAACAAGATTTTGCAGAAGCTTCATTCTCTCACTGATTTTCTCCCTACGGACCTGATCAAAGTGACAAATATTGATAAACCAGTGTTAATGCCAGAAAGCCCAGATTTTTAAAAGAAACAAAAGAGAAGCGAATTACGTATGATTCTCACCCTTTCAGCTAAACTATGGCTGTCGGTAGCTTGACCTCTTCTTGCTCTAACATGAATATAGTCCTTGGGAGGCTCAGGAGCCTTTGTATTGCTTCCTTTGGCATCTTCCTCTGCTTTACCAGAGCCATTTTCGTTTCCATTGCTTTCGGATAACTTGCATCGTTTTTCGTTTGATGCTTCGTTAAGTTCAATCACCTGGAAACAGATAATTACAGAATGTTAAAGAGAAATTTATCTTCAAAGAAAGATAAAATTTGGAACTTATTTTTTAAATTATGTACTTTTGAAGTATTTGGTGATGGGGATGGTGTAGTTTCCTTCGTTTTTGCCTTGGGAGCGGCTTTTCTTTTCCTGGAATTAGAACCTTTCAAGCCAGGCTCAGGATTTTGATCGGAAACGGTGGATTCCTCTTGAGAATTGGCTAACTCGGATCGTTCCTGCAATGGGGTGTTGTTGTTACTGCTGCCGATTTGAGATGCCATTGCTTTTATAGCAGGACTACTGGAAACACGCGGTAGACTGGCGTTTGGTGCCAACGGATTAGATCTATAAGCTGCGATTTCACCATTGTCTTTGAGTCCAAACTGAGTCGTTCGAACATTAAAACTCCTGCTTCCGAAGCAGGAAAATTTCGCCGCTCTCTCCGCAAATCCAGGATCAGCTGAGAAATCTGCCACACCGGAGTTCAGCCCCGTTGATTTTGGCAATGGCGAGTTCAATTTAGAAGCCGCCAACATAGGCTGAGAATGGTGGGGGATCTCACCAGAGTTACCAATGCTCCCCAGTTTCCCTATCAGTTCCCCGATCATTAAGCTCTCACCGGAGATATTGCAATTCGAAGCAGCCGGGGAAGACACCATGGAACTCAAGGCTGACTCGTACTGTAAACCATACTCTGTGGTCGGGAAACAATATTGAGACTGAATTTCCATGGCTGATGACAGCGATTGCCAAACTGACATTGGCGACGACGATAAAGACGACCCAAACTGCAATGGCGGAGCGTGCGGTGGGATTCCCGCATTAATGAAAAACTGGTTCTCCATTCAACGTGAAAATCCAGATAAAAAATGGGAAATTTGAAGCAGAAAAGAGAGGAGGTTGAGGATTGATATTTTTTTTGTATTTCCAAAAGTAAAATAAGTTGGAATGAATGAAGTGTGGGATCAAAATGATTGCTTTTTTTTTTCCTCGTAAAAGAAAGGTGGTTAGAGAGGAAAGGTAAGGCAGAACACAAATTTGGTGAAGAAATGCAAAGAGCAAAGGGGTAGAATTGGGTTGGGCTGCCGTGGAGTTATATAGGTGTAAACAATGCTTCATTGCTCATTGTTTGACCTTTCTTTTTGCAATTATTAGAATGCTTTTCTTCATTTTCTTTTGATAAATATTTTATAATAAATAATAATGCATTCTAATATCAAGATTCCTCTTTTTCTCTGTTGAGGAGTTTTATAGTACTTATTAAGATTAATCTAATTACTCGTAGATTAATAAATTTAATTGATATGATTAATTATCACTTAAAGTAATTAATTTTTAACTCTAATAAATTATATGGTATCTATCAATGATGATATTAAAGAGTTGTAGCTTCTCAAGGGGTGTAAAATTCTACAAAGATGTTATGCGCGGAGAGAATTTTTTCGTCTATGTTTGTAAAAATATCTTTTACAAATCATTTATTTATTTTTACAAATCATTAATTAATTTATCAGTGTAATATCATTTGCATTTATGTATTATATGTATAAATAAGTATATATATTTTAAAGTTTAAGAACTAAGTAGAACAAGATCATAGTTTGATGAGGTATAGAATATTTTTAACGTTTAAAGACCAATTTAGAAATGGGGCTATGGTTTGGGGAAATTTTGTGCAATTATATCAAAATTAAATTAATATTTAAATTTAAAAAATATCATAAATGATAAATTTAAAATTATTAAAAAAATGAACAATTTTTACAAAAAAAGTCTTTGACGCTCATTACCTTGAGTTTACTACTATTTCTTAAACATGTTTTCAGCAACTCCAACTAACGAAAAAAACAGAGATTTTTTCGATGAAAATATTTAATTTTTTATAAGACTTTACAAATATTTTAAAATTTTATTTTTAATAATTTATCACTCTATAACTCCTATATTTTTTAATTTTATCATTTTTAATTTGAATTTTTATAATGTTTTATTTTTAGTAATCTTGTAATATTTATATTTTTGAATAATATCTTAGTTTTTATTTTTTTTAAAAACTGAATGACACATTAGATTTTTTATACAGTCAATTAAGTTCTTGAACTTTAAAAAAATATTTTTTATTTTTTTAATTTTGATAAATTATATGAGTAAAATTCACCTTTAAATCACTAACGTTTATGTATTATATTATACATGTAATAAAATTTATTTATAAACATAATAATTATTAAAAAAGTACTATACAAATTTAGGACAAAGATCTTGGTTTGATGAGGCTTATATTTCTTGAACCATATATCTTTAGTCTAATTACGCATATGTCGCTTGTTAAATCGTAATCTTTTTGTCCATGTCTTGCATTTATTAATGAAAATAACTCGTGCATGTACAAATGATTAATCTTTCACTTCATGGTATTAGTCGTTTGACGTATCCAAACCATTGAATAAAATATTAATTGGATTAGAGTTTGATTTGTTGAATAAAAAAATATAATATACTTATCTATAAAATTAATTCAGTCCTTATATTTTATTTTTTAATTAATTTATCCATTTATGGATTTATTATATTAGTATATTAGTCCAAATAACCATCCCTTATTAATTAATGTGTTGAAAAGAAGTAGAATATGGTATGATTTCGTTGTAGTGGTGGGTTTAAAAATAGAGTTAATATATATATATATATATATATATATATATATATATTAACAACCTAAAATGAATATACATAAATAAAATTTCAGGAAGAATACAAGTAATAAAATAAATAATTAGCGGAAGAAAATTTAAATTTTAAAATGAAAAATTATTGAAACTAACCATAAGGTGGATCGGCGTTGATTCTTTGTAATCAAATTGCACATGTTAACCAAAAATTGAAAAGAAAAGTTAGGAGCGGAACATGCGATGGTATGTAAATAAAAAAAAGGGGGTAATGGTACACGCATGAATCCCCCATGGCCAGGGAGTTGAGATGAGTGCATGCATGATGAAGTAAGTCTAGCCTAGCAATAGCATTCCTCCTACTGTCCTAACGTTGTAACTTTGGTTTCCTTGTTTTTGACTTTTTTTGTTTCTAATTTTATCTACTTCTTTCTGTCTTTGACCCAACCCACCCTCTACTATTGCCTACTTGACATTTTTTGTTATTAAATCTAATACCATTTTTTATATAATCCACAATCTCAAAGATTTTACTCAACTTCTATTATTAAATAATTCATTTATCTACATTGATTTAAACCTATTAAGAATTCTCGGTGATAAAAGAGAATATTATTCTCATTAAAAGTTTTGAGTTTAAGGTGGAGTATTGTGCGATATTTAATAACTAAGAAAGATTTTTAACATATACGTTCTTGCAATCATTCTGAATTATTAAAAAAATTAAAAATATGAATTCGAAATGACCTAATTTCGATATGATTTGGGTTCGGGATAAGATTAGGTTTATGTTTGATTTGAGTTAATCTGTGTGCCAGTATAATTTTAGGTGGTTTGAGGATCTGGGTAGATTAGGTAGTATGTTTTGTTTCCTGACCTAGTGGATTGGCCCTGATAAAAATTAGTGTTCATAAGTACATATATACCCTTGAGAGTTTGTATTATATAATTTGATCCTTTTATCAACGATGTTTTTTTTTAAAGTTTTATTTTATCGAATTTGTTATGTTGTTTAAATGTGACATCGTCTATTTGGCCGAACATTAAGAGTGGACAAAGGGTGTTACATACCAAATTATCTCATTAAATTAGTAAAAGAAGTTGTAATTGACAATTCTTGCTATTGTATTGTAACGAGATTGATGATTTCGTGTAAAGCATTTATTTACATGTTAATTCATAAAAAAAATCATGTATAAAAAATATGGTCTGATTATAACAACTTTGATGGTCAAATAAAAAAAATACAATTAAAAACTACAAATAATTAAATTTAATAATATTTGACTCAAAATAATTCATACGCTAAATTACTAAACATGAAACAATCATAACTTAAAATGATTTATGCTCACCCAACTCAATTTTAAACTAACTTCAATTCAAAATCGATTAAACTCGAAAACCTAAAATATTTGAACTCATTAAGACCCACAATCTTCTCGATTCGCAAATCTACTCCTTAATGTAATTTTGAAATGATATAATGTTAGCAAAAACAAAAATAATGCGAACTTGAAGTATTCTAATCCAAAAATGATGAGAAATGTTTGAAATCCTTATTAAGGATAGATTTTAAAAAGTAGAAGCTGTTCGCGTGTTGTGAGTACTATAAAATATACGCAAATAATGTGCAAGTATACACAATCACTCAAGTAATAAAGTGATGAGTGAGTATCGTCTCCACAGGGATTGGAAGGATATTGAGTAAAGTTTATGCACTATTCTATCTAAGTATAGTTAGTCTTGATATATACAAATGTCACGACAATGGATATGTGTATGCTGGTGAATGTGGATTGATGGTGTGATGGTGTAGCAAATGGAAATGCAGTGGCAAGAATAGATGTTTAGTGTTGAAAATGATGAAATGTCAAGACAATGAAAAATGGTAAAAATAGTAAATAAAAGATAAATAAAATGAAAAGAAGATAATCCTCACGTGACAAGCTTTCAATGGAATGAATGGTAGGGATTGATCTAAGAATGCTAAACTTACCTCTCAGGCAGATTTAAGCTATCTGTTCTTTACTTACTCGACAGGGCTTTCCTAAAATGTTCTCACATGAACCTAACAGAATAGCATGCCAAGGAATCTGCTCTCACTCAACGATGTTGGATAGCCTACCCTATTGATAAAGACACCCTTTTTAGTCGTTGAAATCCTATCCTAGTCTCTTCCGAGATCTAAGGGATTAGGTTATAATATTCCTAGGCCGGTTCAAATCCCCTTGAAAATACTATAACCCATTGCTTATGAGGATCTTGCCTTGCGTTTCTTCCGAATACTTACAAGTATTTTTAGCTTAGGATTCTTCCAAACACCTAACCTTCATCTAAGAAATGGACATTTCCATGCCTCTTACAAGCCTAGATGGTGAAGCATTCATAAACAAAGCAAATAAAGAACCAAAATAAACTTAAATATACCATTAAAATAAAGTTAAAATATCCATTAAACCAACACCACCAAATAAGTTAGTTCATGGTGGGGTTCGAAATATCCATAGAAAAATCCACAAAATATTCGTTCCAACAACCCACAAATAAAATAAATAAAATAACAGCAAAGGGAAGTGAGAAAGAGCCTTCGACGCGCGCCACCGGAGGTCTCCTTGGCCACCACGAACCGCCTTAGCTCGCTAGCTCCTCTCGGCGCCTAGCTTGCCACTCCTTGAAGCTTTATCAATAGAGGAAAACCCAAGGAAGAAGAAAGGAAAAGGGAAAATAAAAATATGATTTTTCTGCTACAATATGCGTCTCCTTTCTTCCACCCACTCTCTCTCTTGTGAGGTGTAATATATAATAAAAATATCTAGGGGTAATGATGATGTTGTTGGGTGCAAAATACCCCTCATACCCCTAGAATCACATGTTGTGCATGAACCTTATCCTCCAGGTGTCAGTGGTCCCCTAGCAGGTTGTTACAACCATCATTTCACGTGCAGAGCCAGCTGTCCACGTACAGCTGTATATTTTTGTCGTTTTCTGCGTCAGAAATGCCGAGGCATTTCAATCTGCTTCAGCGTGTGATGCCGCGACATTACTTCCCAGCTCACCTATTTTGCTTGTTGTTTCCTGCACATCACTAAAAACCACACCTTCCTCCTCATATAGCACCTTAATAAAATAAAATAACACAACCACCACAAATACAATTACATGCAACTACATACATCTAAAATGACTTATATGTACCCTTAACCAAACAATAACTTAAGTCAAAAAGGCCTTAAAAGTAGTCTTTTTACAGAGTTATCACACCCCCAAACTTGAGCTATTTCTTATCCTCAAGCAATGGATAACAATTAACACAATCAAAATGTCATGGCAATTTCAACAGTAGGACAACAAGACAAAAATTGAATTTCAACCCTCAGAAAAATCGGCTTCTACATGCTAAACA